TTCTTATTTCAACTTCATCTTGAAAACTAAAGAAAACGTTCACCATTTCCTTCCTCCTGGTGAACTCAAATCTTAATTTGAAGAAAAAGAAATTATTTAGTGCTCCTTAAAGCTTTGAAGCCTATCAGGAGCATCGGGTTCTGGTCAGGATGGCTGGACTGGTCTGAACCGACCCAGTAAACAGGAAGAGGCTCGTTTAAGGAGGAACTCCAGAACTCACTGCTGCTGCTGCTGAGGATGATGACGATGCTCTGCCCGAGGGATCAGACTGAAATACTGCAGCATCAGCAGCTGAACAGCACCGAATACAGACCCACTGAAAAAAGAGCTGCTTCATTTCTGAAAGTATCACCTTCCTGTATTTCTATGATCACTGTGAGCTAAAATGTGGGTTTTATGGGATGGGAAGCCCCGGTTTCATCCCATCATAATATAGTGAGAGCTGGAGGCCATCTTGTTTTCATTTCCTTTCACTTTGAATCACTGCTGACACTCTGAAGCTGCAGTCACTATCTGTCTTGTAACTAAGACTAAGGCAACTACATTTTTACTTTTAGAAAAATCTGGATTGTTTTTTTGCTAGCGCGCCCAGAGCCGCCATCTTGTTTTTCTATTTATTTGGATTCTGAGCTCAGGTACAACAGAATACTAGGACTACAGACTACAATTTAATATCTTTAATTACAAGAATAAATTAAAAAAAAGAAAAAGAAAAGCCAGTTTCATGAGAACTGCAACATAACAAATATAAAAAAATGAAACTGAGGAAAGTTGAGCCTCTTCTAAAGTTATATTTTGGGACCAGTTTAACCAATGAATGAAATTAAATAAAATCTTCATTTATTTTGAACAAGTACTCTCAAGAGAAAAAGTTAAATAATTAAGAAGAAAATGTACCATAACAATAATAAAACATATTTAACAATTGCACCTTCATATCCAGTTTGAATAGGAGAAAGAAGACAAAGTTGATTAAATTCTATCTAATATTTGCTTATGTTACAATACACCAATATGAAAATATTTAATCTTTTCAAACAGCATCAAATATTTATCAGTAGCAGGATTTTGAAACAATTCAGTCGATTTCACACAAACTGAGCTGCTCACCTCAGATCCTGATAATTCGTTTTTTCACTAAAACAACTTCTATCTCATAATTTTCATGTTTTTATGGTAAAATTGCAACTTTTTCTACTACTGTTCAGATGAACAAAAATTCTCATAGCCTTGATACTCTGTTGTGCAACTCACAGAAGAAAAGCCAAGTTTTGAAAGTATTTTCTGAAATTTTGTTTTTAGAAAAGCAGAAAAAAACAAAAAAAAAAAACAAAAGTAAAGTAATTGATTAAAATCAGAAATCATTTATAGTTTGAAAATATCATCACAATGCAAAAACACAAAATCTTACCAAGTATTTGTTCTAATTTCTAGTACAAATATTTTATACTGGCTCCACTGGAAAATTATTTAACTTATTTAAGACATTTACTGAAAATACTTCCTCGATCTTGCTAAAAAGTTACTTTTAAATTAGTTTAGACTTATTTCATGTAGTTAGATATTTGTAAAAGAAACTAGACCAAAAACTACTCGGTAAGAATTGGTTCTTTTGCAGTTTCCAAGCTTTCTGCTCCTTCAGACTAGCTCACAGCAATTAGCAAGCGCCTGGTGGAACTGCACATCTTTTGAGCTCATTATACAAACGACTTCTCAGAGAAACACTGGGGAAAATGTTCAAGGCTTAATGGAGGAGTGTTGTGATGACGTGATGAAGGCGATGTTTTGGAAAGAGCAGGAGCTTCTTAAAGAGACAGACATCCAATTTCAAGGCGTTAAATTGTAATGGCAATTTTAAAGATGACCTTTTATGCTTCCTGGAACATGTTAAGATACATTTGTAAGCTACACAAAACATATTCGTTACCTGTTTGTACAAATAGTCTGCTGTTAAGACTATTTTGAGCTGTTTTAGGGCCTCTTCTAATTTCCCATCCAAATAAGCTGCTGCTGGCCACACCCCCTCAATTATTTTCACCCTCGTATGTGAAAAAAGCTCCAAACAGATGTGCAATTATACAACTGTACATCTTTGAAAAGCAGAAGTGCTTTTCAAAGATGGACAACTTGCACAACCAACAAACATACAGCAAATGGTTCCTGGATGGCATGTAAACAACAAAACTGTTGTCTTTTCCAGCAGCCATTGTACAGTTGAGTACAGTAGAAAAACCAGCAGAACAAACCTGCTGGACTTCCAATTGGGTTGCTAGGTTACGGGCAGAACTCTGCTTGGGTTGCTAGGTAACCAGCTGACTGTGATGTTACATTTTTTGAAACGGCTCATTTTCAAGCCACCAAAAATGTTAATTGGCTGGATAGTTTTTTAAACGATTATGCTGATTTTGGAAGCACCAGAGTGTAAAATAATAACAGGTTCTCTTTAAATCATATTTGATATTTACAGCATTTTCAAATCAACTGAAGGTAACACGGTTACTTGATTGTGCTATAAAATGATTTTATACGCCCGGCATAATACCGTCCCTTTCAAGATGCAAGTTATGATTTCTTTTTTAGATTCTAAGCTTTACTTTTAAAGGGGTGTGGACTCTTTTCAGAGCCTCTGTCTGGGTCTGGCTGGATCTGGACCAGACCTGCCTCCTATCTCTGTAAACACCCCGAGATGATGAGCTAAATCTGATCTTCTACTGCTCTGGAGTCGGCAATACAGACGTGTGTTTTTTCCCCCCAGAATTGGCACTATTTATCATGATTGCAACTGAATATTTTCCCAAGATGGCAGAGCAGCAGCAGCATCAGCAGCAGCCGGGATGAACACGGCCAGGCGTCCTTCGATGAATCCCTGATCCGCTTTGACTCCTTCAGTCCTGGAACCGATCAGGAACATTCATCATCCCGGGAGACGGGATGTGACCCGAATGACACACTCGATTACACAGATGCTCTCTCTCTCTGACACACACAGTCACCCAGTTATCGGCCGACCTCTGGGTGGGTCCGCCTGGTCCGATCGGACCTACCTGGGTGCCGGCTTGTGGGAGCTGTGGGAACAGATTCAGGCTGGTCGGTCTCTTTGGTCGGTATTTATCCATGACAGCGCAGGTGGATCCTCCGTCGACAGGCGGCAGCTTCCTCCCTCCTCCTCCTCCTCCTTTATCAACCCACCGTCGGCGCTCCTCGGCTCGGACAAGGCCTCCCCCACCCTCCTCTACCTCCCTGACATCTCTTCTTCCTCCTTGGTCCTCTGAGCATCATTCAGCTCTGAGCTCCTTCTCTGGCCACGCCCCTCTTCCCTGACGATTGGCCCCGCACGCCGTCACATCACCTTCATCACCACAACGGAGAGGAAGAGGAAGAGGGATTGTGTTGAGTTGTGATAGAGGGAGTCGGGACTGAGATGAGCGAGAGATACAGAGGGAGGGAGGAAGTCAGAGGCAGCCAATCAGAGCGAAGCATGACATCATCAGCTGATCTGCCTTCAGGCTAATGAACATACAGAGTGACTCAGAGAAATACGATTAGACAGCAGGACAGGCGGACAAAGGGAACGGCCAGTCAGGAAAGCAGTCGGAAAACTGTGTGATGACTGGAAACCAGTCTGCCAGTCTCTCTCAACCCAGTTCAGCTAAATATAAACCCAGTCGCCAGTTAGGAAATGGTCTGACACCTGGAAACAGTCATTCTGTCTGAAAATAGTCAGCAAACAGGCTGATAACTGGTAAAGAGACAGTCAATAAGACAGAAAACCAGTTTAAATAGACATAAAACCAGTTACCAGTGAGGAACCAGCCTGTCAATCAGACGGTAAACCAGTTCAAACATAAAACCAGAGGAACCAGTCAGACAGAAAACCAGTTTAAAGGAGCAGTATTTGTGTGAAAAATAAATAATACTCTCCCTTTAAGAGGCAGCTTGGTTAGTGGGTGATTAATCAACACCTTTGAGGAGATTCTATTCCAGTCAGTATTTTGTGAAATATATCGTCTTGCCAACACTTTCATATTAGTTTGGTAAATAACAACCACTTGTTCTAACTCACTTCGCTAAATCCATACAGATCTGGATTTAGCTGATATTTTAGCCGCTATTTAGCTGAGGGTTTTAGCTGCTAGTTAGCTGAGGTTTTAGCCTCTAACGTTTGGCCATGACGTACGTAACCCGGCAGTCGACGCCATGAAGCTTACCGGAAATGGTCGCGTTGTAAACAACCGTCCTCCACTACGAAGAGAAAAGTGCCGAGCTTCAGTCCGAACTGTTTTGTTCACCTCCTTCGCTAAACTACTTGTTTTTGACAGTAGGAAAGGAAACGTGAATTAACGCCACCTAGCGGTATGGGGTGTTTCATGATTTAATTTTGAACATCGTCTCCTTTCTAAATCATAAAGTAACATAATAAAGTTGTTTGTTCTTTCATAAGAACAAACAAGAAAGGGGACATTTTTATTCATTTATTTTGCCAAACTGACATTTAGAAAAAAATGACTAAGATCATAATTTTAGGAAGGTGACAAAATCTATCTACAGGCAGAATACAATTTAAAAACAGCACAGAAAATAAACATCATGGTTCACAACTTATATTTGCCGATTGGCCCTGAGAAATCCAAGTCAATGAGAGAAATTCCACCCAGAGCAGAGGAGATGAATATCTAGTAGGGAAGCAAAACTTTTACAGCTTTAATTGACTTTGTTGTTTTCATTTGCTCTTCCCACTGCATTCTTGTCTTCATTTTTTCAGTATTCATTTTCGAGTGTTATGTTTGTTTTAGGTGACTATGGATCAATAACATTCAATGTTATATTTAAATTAAACCAATTTTGTGAATAAAAAGTATCAATTTCTAATATTTTTATAGTCTGAATACAATAAAATAAAATTTTTTAGTCTCCCTTCTGATTATGTTTCTAGTTATTCCCACTCATGAGACGAGTGAACCCAAATAAAACCCTCAATCAAAACTTAGAATCAACACACATACAGTTGAGTGCTTTATATATTTTATATACAAACAGATAAATTAAGAGTGAAGAACAAGACATAATTTTTACTCTATAAAGTCAGGTTGCACAAAAAGATGCAACGATTCACCTTCATGTTTCCCGGCCTGCAGAACAACCACAGGGTCTGGCTGAGTTCTGGCAAAAATATCAGCTATTCCTAAAATATTCACTTTTAATATTTACATATAAACAAAGAGTTCCCAAGAACAGAATGGAGTGAAGTGGATTTAAACATTCAACCACAGATTCATCCAGAAACAAGAAGTCAGTAAAGTGCAACATCGGGTTCAGGACGAAGTTCTGCTGATGAGTCTGTTAGAAACTCTAATTTATATAACTGACATTAAATGGGCTCTAAGGAAGGGGTGCAACAAGGGTCAGATCACAAAGTTGAAAGTATTGAGGAGTTGCATTGTTTTTCCAATTTAAAAACGCATAATAAATTATACATGCAATATTTAATGAAGCAAAGAGGCCTTTTCTTTGTATTACTAAAAGCTGGACAGTTTTCTAACTTTGTTGGGTATTTTTTTTCAGTTTATTTGGTTTAAAATATCTTTTAGTCAATTGCCTGCAACAAAAATTATATTGTTCTTTCATATTAGAACGTTTAATATTAATATTAATGTGCTTTAATTTTTTAAACTAATTAAAGCTCAAAGAAGTTTGTAAAAAAAAAAGAATAAAATGTGTCATTAAAACTGAGGCTAAAAATTACAAAAATGGAGGGCCACATTGTTTAAGAATCATTTCAGAAGAAAATTATTTAAAAAATACTTTTTTGAAATAATTTTCCAAAAAGTAATTTCTAAAAATTATGTTTTAGAAATAATTTTCTGGAAAATTATTTTAGGGAAAAAAAAATCATAAATAATTTAATTATTAATTTTCATTCCATATTTTCAGAAATAATTTAACCTCTGAAGTTCTGATAACTAAAGTTTCTAATCAGAAACAATTACAAAGGTTGAAATCTGATCTTTTAAAACGCAGAATATTAAATTATGTTATTCCATTTTGTGGCAGCAGATGAGTAGAAATTTTAGTTTGATTTTATTTCATATTTTAACTAATTGATATTTTTAGGGGGTCTGACGACACCTGAACCCGATGTTAAACACGTCACATTCACTACTGAATATGGGCTGGACGGAGCTCATCCTGAACACTTTGATTACATTGTAAAAAAATTTAAACCCTTTAAATTGATGCTGGTTTTTCAGACTGGATCAAACTGTTACAAAGGGAGGATCAACATAAACCTGGATCACAGGGGACAGTCCTGATGCTGCCAGAAGGACCAAATGATTTCCACCTTGAAATGAAGTCCATGATCAGAGAGACACTCTGGTCTGATGAAATCCTTAGAAAACAAAAGGCGGAGCTGTATAAAATACGTACATTTTATGGCCTCAAATAAGGTTTTTAGACCAGACAGCAGTCTGTGCGTGAATATGTCTGCAGTGTCTGTCTTGGTTTGGGTTAACTGGGGTTTTAATGTGCTGCTCCTCTTCCATTCGTTGCATCACGTGCCTCCAGATCCAAAGGAGCGTTCCGTAGTTTCCCACTGGATGGAGGAAATATACAGATTGTTCTCAGAAACCGCACCTGACGAGACAAGAGAGCGAAAATGATCAGTCTATGCACAAAACAAATTGGAGATGTGTGTATAATAAAGAATTTCTCCTCGTTTCATGTGGATTTGATTTCAGTTCTCCACACCAGGAGAAATATAGAGCACCGTCATTTATCGACAACTGATGTAAACTGAACTGAACTGATGTGAAAAAAAAAAATCACATCGGTTTGAAAGACCAATAAATAATATTTATTTAACAATATTTCAACAGTTTGTTTTTGGGTTTTATTCTGGCACAACCGGACCTTTAAGAACATCCAAGATCCGGATTTGGCCCAAAATGAAAATGAATTTGAAAGCCCAAGAACGCCAGAGAAATAAAACTGAAGTAAAATTTAAAAAACCAAACAATTAAAACCCTGATAACTACCTTGTCTGTCCACTTAATGTCACTGTTGAGCTGCTGCTACCGTCTCCTCCTCCATCCTCTCCTCATCCACCTCCTCCTGCATCCTCTCCTCCTCATCCTCTTCCTCCTCCGTCGCCATCGGGCAGGACGGGCGTTCTCTCCGTCTTTGGCTTCGCCGGCCCTTGTGGGCGGCCCCTTTCCTTCTCGGGGGCAGCGAGGACGGACTGGCGGACGGTGAGGGGCAGGAGGACGGAGATCCGGGTTTGGATCGAGATGTGGGGCTTTGTGACGGGCTGGAGGCAGGAGAGGACGGCCGGCCCGAGGAGGTGCAGTGATTCTGGAACGGCTGATGGAGCGACGCGTCGTCCTGGTCCGGAACCGGCGCCGAAGTGGAGGAATCTGGAGCCATCAGGCAGACGGCTGCTTCGATGTCGGCAAGAACTCTGGGAGGAGAATCTGGGAGGCGGGAGAGAATAATCTGAGTTTAGACCGTTTGAAAATATTTTCCACGTCTGAGGAAGAAAACTTTACCGTACCGGGTCCGCTGCTGGTCTGAGACTCGTCTGTCATCGGCGGCTCTGCTTCTTCCTGGATCGTCGGTACCGATGCCAGTAGGCCTAGAACACAGACATGTTATTTAATTAAAGATGACCGATTATGTTTCATTAAACAAGTTAAGGGTTTTTTTGCACAAAATGTAATAAATACTTTGATAATCAGATTTTAGTCTAGTCAGTTCTATTTCAGAGACTCCTGTCACTTTTAATGCAAATAAGCCGCCACTGGCCACTGCCCCCAGCTCAAGGTTTACACTCACACATGAAAAAGGCTTCAAAAAGATGCATAATTTTACAACAGTATAGCTTTGAAAAACATTAGTAGAGCCTCCTGCACAACCATAATAAGGCAGCGAGTGGTTTCTGGATGATAAGTCAACAACAAAACAAAAAACAGTTGAAAGAAATTTGGGGAAAATGTTATGCTTTTCTTTATTACGGAAAATGTGTGATAATTTTTGGTTTTGGTCTACAGTGATTTAGAAAGCCTCTGTCTACAAGATGCACGTTTTGTTTCATTAAAATATTTTGAAGTTAAAGGAAAAAGGTAGCATTTTATTGGCCGCAAGTACCTTCAGCGTGATTTCGGCCCACAAGCCAAAGAGTTTGGATGCCACCAGTTTAAACATCTCCCAGTTCCTCCCTGGGAGATGTTAGGGGGCGCTACAGCAGGTCACTACTGTACTTACTGAGTCCCCTGTAATGCGACAGCTGCTGGTAAACTTGCTTCATGCGCTCGATGTTGAGTCGGCTGCCCTCTGCATGGTTTATCATCGGTTTGGGGTAATCCACTCCCACCACGCAGTTCGCAGCCTTCTGCAGAGACTCTGGGGCGTTCCACGGCTCGTAGATGTAGCGGTTCGGAAAGTCCTTCAGGATGGGAATGTAACGCCTGCAGGACGAATCAGTATGTCAAGTTTAGAAATTTTATTAAATAAGCTAAACACTAATTTTAGCTTAAATGCTACCATTAGCATCTGGGCTATCACTAGAACATTGGCTAAGATTGACTTACTCAAAATGAGCCAACAATTCAATTTTAGCTAAAATACCATTTTTTTTTAACATGTTGACTATAATTAACATACTCCATCTAGTGTAAAAAAAACCCCAAACTTTTCTATCAAAATTAGTTAAAATGCTAATTTTGGCTAAAATATCAGTAGCATGTTGATTAACATTGGCTAACTCCATTCTCTACTAGCCTCCAATGCACTTGCATTGCTACTGCAGATCCCAATGTTAAACATTGTCCGACCCTAATTTTCAGAATCTTCATCATGGACCAAAGTCTTCCAGCAATATTACGTCAGCTCTGCATATGTTTGCATTTTTACAGTGTGATCCAACCCCACTGTGTAGGCTAGCATACATTTTTGCTGCTTTCTACTTTTGCAGTTTACTTCTCTATCCATTTATCAAATTTATCATCTGAGATAATTTGCTGACAGAAAAGCATTTGTCCTTTAAAGCGATCCACTACTGTGTGCACAGCTGGAGCTGAGCACTGCAGAGCTGTGGTTTGAAATCTGTGCTTGAAATTCACCACACTTCCTGTAGTCAGGCAGTTGGTACAGGAAGTGCATCCTTCATAAACAGACAGAACGACACAACCTGAGCTGCACTGGCCATCTGAGACTGAAATCTGTTTGCTCTTGATTCACTCCGTTCTTCGTCTGTAAACCGACATTCTTTGTTTTGAATTCAGCAAAATGCAAAAAATTAGGGTCAAGTGCAGAAATGATGATAATCCATCAGTTTCTCCATTTGCTCTGCTCAGCACTTGTTTTATGCATGCAAAACACCTTTATTGTGAAAAGAAAAGAAATGTTCTATTTTCTAAGGTTTAATTATTAAATATGTGTTAGAATCAGTTTTATCAATTAAGTTCATTTTTGGTTTATAATTCTTTAATTTTTAGAAAACAGGGACATATCTATGGAGCTAAGTTGGGGCCATAAAGTTTTTTCAAAAGAGAAAAAAACATTGAAACTGAAAAAAAATGTTTGGATCTGAAAAAAGAAAAAAAATTTAAACAAATGCCTGGCCCCAATTTAGCTCCATACACATTGCCCAGTTGTAGTATCTCCTACCGGTGCATTAGCAGATCTGACGTCAAAGAAAGCTGGCGCTAAGCTGACCTGATGTAGTCTCCTGACGGGTCGGTCCTCCTCCCAAAGCCCACGGGACAGTAGCAGTGGAAAAACTGCTGGAAGAAGGCGCTGCAGGACAGCCACATCCAGCTGCCGGCGTTCACGCTCCAGTCGGCGTCCAGCAGCAGCTCCTCAAACACCTGCAGGAAAAACAACAACACACCATCAGGCGGCTTAAACTACAGCCGGGAAAATATCTTTTCCTCCCTAGATTAGGGCTTGTTTGGAGTTGCAATGGAAAAAGACCAAACTGTGCAGCAAATCTACATGTTAAGTTTGTCACAGTCAAGCTAGAATGACTAGCCTGTTCCCCACCTCCTCTATATATAAATTTATTTATTTTAACTGAAACTTTTCACTGACTTGTGAAATGTGATACCCTTGGTTATCAATTTGTCAATATAGTGACACGGTGTGGCTTTTGATGATATTTTGCACAATTGTGTCATTTTCCTGACCACCACCATTTCTGACTCAATGAATAGTCAGAAATAGTGGTTACACATGCGCAATGGCGCATGTGTAGCACACAACAGTCCGACCTTCATCCCGCTCTCCCAGCTGATCCACAGGTCGCCTCTGGTGAGGAAGCAGGCCACGGCGTGCCGCGCCCGGTGGTGGATCCAGCCCTCCTGCCTCAGCTGAGTCATGATGGCGTCGATCCAGGGGAAGCCAGTCCGTCCCTCGGCCCACTTGGCCAGCGCCTCTGGGTTCTGGTCCCAGGGGATCTATTGGCAAGCAGGTAAATAGATCATTTATCTTGGTCATAAAGATAAATGACCTTTATGACCAAATTAAATACTTCAAAGAAAGTTGCCCAAACAAATTCTCAAAGAAATGTTCTCACCAGATTTTCTGGCAATTAGCAAATAGAAATAATTTTGGTGATTCCAACTAACCTAAAACATGAGAAGTTTATTCTGACTTAACTTCAAACAGTGAGAAAAAAATGTCTTTAATAGGTGTACAAAAATTATCTGGTTTCAACTATAAGTAATGTTTTCAAAACTTCTGATTTAATTTAATTCAGTTTGAAAATCAAGAACTTTCAAGGACTTGATGGATAAATCAAGCACTTTCCAAACACCAAATTGAAAATTCAAGCATTTCACACTCACCTGCACACAGATGGGGTTTCCCTCCATGCGGTCAAAGTTTGGGTTGTTGGTGGCGGCGGTGTAGAAGAACTCCCTCCATAGGAGCTGGCCGTACAGGGACAGCGGAGGACTGCTCCGCTTACAGAGCTGACGGAGACAAGAAGAAAACCCAGAGAGACAAAAACTCAGTTTGGTTCTGGATCAAACGGAAATATTCAACCACCTTCATGTCCAAACCACCTTGAATTCTTACTGCTTAGGGCAAGTTAGGCTGAAGACCTTAAAACATTTTTTATAACACATCTAATAAAATCTAAGACCAACATCAAATTAAACACAAATTAAACAACCACAGTTGTTTTATTCAGAATGTTTATTTTACCATAAAGAATGTCTCTTTAGTGTAAAAGTTTCCAGAGACAAAGAAAACGTACAAATGTCCAAATATCTCTGCTTTACAAACTGCAGTTTGTAACTTTTATAAAAATATGTTTTTTACATTTCTGCTAAAAGTTTCATCAAGTGTCAGATAAAAATCTAAGTCTTCTGCCTTCTCCCAGTGTCAGCTACAGAAAAAAACAACCAATCAGATCCAGGAGAAGGATTGTAGCGCTGTCAATCAAGCTCGTGTACAACTGAGATTGCTCTCTGGCTCTGATTGGTTGTTTCTCCTTGTTGCCAGAAAGGGCAGCTGTCTGTAAAACAGTACAAAGGACTGAACAGATGTTCTCACAGTTGTGTTTTGGACAGAAGCTGTTTGTGTTCACTGAAGCCAGTCGCTCTCAGTACCTTCATGTAGATCTCTCTGAGGTTGTAGTACAGCACCCTGCAGGACAGGCAGCCGAAGCGCAGGTAGGGGCTGAGGCCTGTGGGGCTGGCGTACAGAGAGCAAGTCTTCACCCGAGTGTTGGCCACCCACACCTGAGGAGACGGACGCACAGCTGTGAATCAGTCAGATGTGTGACGCAAAAAGATTTTTCCAAAAGTTATTAATTAAAGCTTAATAAATCTACAGAATTTATAAGTTCCTGTTTTTTGACTAAAACAGAAAAAAACATTTTTAATATTAGATTAACTTACAATTTATAACAGTGACATATAAAAGTGAAACGTCTCAGTTTTTCACCCCCATTGTGTGGGATTTCTATGGAGGACTAATCCTGCCAAAACTGGTAAATACATAAGATATAAGATTGTACTTCAGCAATAGTTTTCCAAGAAAGGGTGACTCAAATGTTGTTTTTATTCCTGAGAACAAAATGAAATATTTTTTCCTAACAATAAAGTAAAAAAATATATATATAAAAAATTAGAAAATTGGATGCTTTTTTAAAAATAAATAAATAAGGCTTATGTGCAAAACCATTTTTTCAGTTTTGGCTCTAATGTTTTTTATAAACATTTTGTTCCGTCAATGAAATAAAATAGAATAAACAAATAATACAATAAAAACAGATTTTTTTTGCTTAATTAAAGTTTTACGTTAGTAGCTAATTGTTGAAAATTCTTTTCAATTTTAGTTTTTTAAATTACATTTCTTGTCTTCCAAATGACTTTTACGCAATTTTGTGAAAATTGGCTTAATGTGTGTTCATCTTTATCCTGATCCGATAAGTTATTATTGTCTGAGTTTTTACACAAATCGCAAGCAGACGCTCATGATTTAACCACCAAAACAAGCGTTCTTGTGTCAGCTTTACGTTTTTGTCCAGGTATCTGCTCAGTCGGTCCAAAGCCTCCGACTCTCCTCCACGCCACACAGCTGGAGGTAACCCCTCCGTCCTGAAACCTGCGCACACATTTAAATCAAATCCAGTTAAAATAGTCATGTAATAATGCAAAACAAAGCTCTTTAGAAGCTGGGAAGCAAGGATTTGAATGAAAAAATAGGGCAGACTGGAGTTTGACACCCTCCAATAACCACAGAGCAGAAGCCGTGTTGTTATTTGTTTTAATTTAATGTGGACTAAAACGGTCGGCAGGTGGATCTGGTGATGCTTACCGAGCTCCTCCAGGGAGGGTATACTGTACAGCTGGTCGTGGTTGTCGGAGATTTTGCCGAGGCATCGGTTCATCTGTTGCTGGCTGATGGGAACCACAGGTCTCCTAGGCAACTCCAGTCGGCTCACAATGGTCTGAAAGCGCTTAAAGGTCAGAGGCGGGTTGTTGTTGTTCATCTCGATTATCCTGCAGGCATAAAAACAGCAGAGGATGATTACAGCTCTGCTGCGTTTAAAGTTGGTTTATTCCAGGAATCCAACCTGGATTACAGAGTCATCAAAGCACTGATGTTTATTTTCGGTTATCTTTCATGGTTAACAATAAAAACTACGGAAATTATATTTGTTGAAAAGTAATTTATTTATTGGTAGAATTTAAAAAACCTACATTTTATTGACATTTAGGGAAGTTCAGTTCAAAATAATAAAGTTTTACTATCTGTGTTCCGCAATAATGTAAAGCTAAAATTGGCTTTACATTACTGAAGTGTGCTGTAAAACCATTTCAAAGTTTATGAGACTTTATTTTTAAAATCTAGAACAAAACTTATCAAATAAGGAATTTATTTTGCAGAAGGTTAATTCAATCTGGAATAAAACCCCACCAGTTTATAGTTGCCTTTGATACAATATTAGTAAAACATTAATCAATATTTTGATGTGTAACGATGACATTAGACAAAATGTAATGCTTCAGTTTATGACGTAAAGCACTTGGTTTTATAAAAATAACCTTTTTATTTGTTTTATGCCTTTGTTTAGCATTTTATGCCCAGTTTCAGGAGAGCTCAGCCCTGCGCTTCATGAAGAATCTCAGAGTGAATCAGAGCCAGTCTGTGTTTTCATCAGTCCGTCTGGCTGCCGCAGTTTTAAACGGATCAGCTGCCCTGTGGACTTTTTAAAGTTTCCTTCTTACACAACCTGCTCAGGATCTGCAGCAGGGACGACGTCCCATTGGATGGGTCCGGCTCTGAATGAGCGCATTTTCACAACGCTGGAACGCACAAAGCCCGGCTTCACCCAGCTGGTACACTAACACACAGGCCGGCGGTAATCCGCTGGTTACGCAACGCTGCGCTGGTCATGCAGCAGCGCAGAGAGGCATGGATAAAGTTCTTCAATGTCGCTCGTTAAAACCCACTCATCCCCGCACATGGGTGCAGTGTGTGACCTGCAGTGAGAGCAGACGGCCACTGGGGGCTCCACCGAGTCTGACATACTGGAGATTCGGGACGATTTAAAGTCCTGGTTCACAGAATATTTGACCAAAATTTATTTGTAAAATAAATTTCTAGAAGTTTAACATTTCCTAACATCCCAGTTATTTCTCTGTTTCCACCTTATTTTTATATTTATCGAGACATGCTTATTATTTTATTCAATTATTTGATTTAATTTTGAAAACTGCTATTTTTTTTTATTTGTTGTGTTTTCTTTTGTGAACAATGGCAATAAAAGGAGTTCTGATTCTGAATATAGTGTTAAATTACATTATCGAAAGCTACCAGGCGTCATTAAGAATGTCAGATGCAGCCGGAAAGACCCAAAGTTATGGATTTTACCACAATAAAGCTTCTCCAATTTGAATATGCGCACCATTTGCAGTTCTCTGGCCGATCTTTAAATAATCTGAAACTGATTTATTTCATAAATGACATCATGTGTTAAAGATAGAGATGCATCAATACAAGATTAATATCTCAGATTGTAATTCAAGAATAAGTCTGACAGAACTTGGACTCTTCTAAATATATACCAAAGTTCCTATATAATTAGAAACTCTACAGTTTCTCTATTTAGTGCCCAGGTCTGTGATGAAAAGACATGAATATCATCATCAGTTGCTCTAAAAATATTTATTTACTTTAGGATATAAATTGTTTTTAGTTTTAACTACCAGAAGAAAAAAGACCTGACTCAGAGTTATTAAAAACTCTGTGGAGGAAAGAAGTTCATTCTATAGAAAATTAAATAGTTTTAATCCTACATTCCTCCTTTAAATGATTCCCATTGCTTGTGGAAGTTGAATCTCACTGTGAATCACAGACCTGTCCAGGTTGTAGAGGGTGTGCGATTTCCTGATCACAGTCTCCACTCCAAACTCCTGGGCCATCTTGATGATGGCGCCATCCCGCTCCTTCCCGTAGGGCTCCGGGTCGTATTCGAACGTCAGCCGGGTCACGTTCCATTCCTGCAGTGGGACGAAACAGAAGCAAGAAAAATTAAAACTGGATGAAGAAAGAAAGAAATGCAAGAAAATCAATACGATTTTTCATAAATACATGTTTGTATGTGTTTATATGGTGTTCATCATTTAGAGGACAACTTAGATGATTTAGATAAAGAAAAGATTAATTGGCTCTAGATGAAGACTAAGACGTAGATGATAACTTGGATGAAGAAAGACCAAGATCATAATTCAGATGGAGAGAAATATGGTGGTTTAGATTTAAATGATGACAAGATGATTTATATTAAGACAAAGATCATGATTTAGTTGAAGATGGCAAAGAGAAAGATCAAGATAATGGCAAAAAGCAGCAGAAGAGAAAGATCTGAATCACTGTGCACAAACATAAACAGCAGACTTGAGCGTTCCCATTTATTAAGCTTGACTAAAAACATGAATCTGGCACATTAAAGCAGAGAAACCTCTAAAACATGTAGGACAGTGTGTCTTGAGGACCAGAGTTGGGTGACACTGTTCGAGTTGTTCTAATTATACACAACAAACGATCAAAGCAAAGATGAACAACATGAAAAATGTAGGTCATTGTGTTTTGTTTTACTTTCATTGTTTGTTTTTTTTCTTGACTACCAAACCCTGATTTACAAACACATTTCTGCAAAAATAAGATTACAATGGACTCCTGGGTTAGGAGTTGCTTAAATCCATGCACACTTCAGACTATATAAAACGTTTACAGCATATTATTTTAATCGTTCAAACTCCAAATATACCTTATTATGCTTTAATAAACACAGTAAAAACCGTCTTAGGACAACTGCAGCTAACATTCACAGTCCTCTTTATCTTCAATTGAAGGTTCAACCAATAAGTGCAAAGGAAAATGAATGGGACTCCAGGATTGGCTGCTTTGCAAATGACAACATGCCAAACTAGCATTACACCCCGCTGATTAAAAAGAAAATGTTCTGCAAACTTTTTCTCAAATAATTTTGTTGCATATCTCGTGACAAAAAGTTTGAACACAAATAAATCACTATATTTACACAGCAGAGGAAAGTTTATGACATGAAGAAAACATTAGATCAGAAATAAACTTCCAAGCACAGCCAACATCACCAGGGGTATTCAATCTGCCTCATCTCTGGTCAGTCAGAACAAAAAATCGGAAAGGAGAAACGACCTAAGCAGAGACCAGTGTTGGATGCAAAAATTTACTTTTCATGCAGTTCTGTGTTGAAATGTAATCACTTGACAAGCTATTTAATTTTAGTTTCACCTTAATGGTGAAATTTATGATGGAGCAGTCAAATTATTAAAAATGTACTGATGTGCTACGAAGGTGAGGCGGATGTGATGACACAAACCCAGAGGAGATAACACAGGAAAATAATGGAAAAAAAAACAGTGAAAGCACTTTATGGAGCTACAGAAGGTATTTATGTATGAATATCTTTCCGTAAATGACAAATCAAATATTTCACATATTTTACTCCATCAGCAACTTAAGAGCTTCCTGTTTTCTTATGTTTTGTAAATAAATTTAAGTCTAAAAATATGAGAAAACCACCATTTTCTCTTTATTCAGTATTTAATACAGCTGACACAAAATAATGTATTTGTTTTATTAATTAAAATGTAGCCCTCCATTTTACTGAGAGATGGTCAATACTCTTGAAACAATGAAACAAGAAAAAAAAACTCAGGTTCTTAAGAAAATTGCAGATTATCAGTGAATTGTTAGTCAATTAATAAGATCAATCAAATTTAGATTACAACATTAATTGATAACTTCTTGCAAATGTATTTCCCCTTTACAAGTAAACACTTTGGTGTTTAATCACCACTTTCACAGAGATCCTGGTGGAGAACATGACATGTGCAGGAACACTGACCTTAAAGAGCCTCGGGAAGACCTCGGTCGGCTGACCTCTGACCACAAACAGCCTCGAGTTGAGCTTCTTCAGACTGTTGTCCAAGTCCTCCAGAGACTCCAGCAGAAATCTGCACAGAGAGGAAATATCACATGTCAAACAGCTGCAGATTCAGTCTTTATGCAGCTTATTCTGATGTGATCTTTACTGTCTGCATGCTAAAAGCAGACTTTAAACTCCAGAGATGTATATTCTAATATAATTCAGTCCAAGTTGTAGTTTATGTCCTGAAAACTAGCAATTATCCCTATTATGTACCTTTTTTCTTCCACTCAACTTTCCATTAATTTATTGAATCCAGCGCTATTTACAGCCACCATTTTTGGCTATCATTTTCTGGAGGCTCTTCACATCCTTGAACCTATATTAGCTATTTTGTATTTCAAAATGCTGTTTTAATTCGTCTTCTGCAACATTCTAAAGTTTATAAAAACTGAAATGTCCATTTTTAAAACCAGCAACATAATCTTTACTCACTGGCCTTCAACCCAACTGAAACCTGATTTTACTTTATGTTTACTGGTGCTGATTTCATCTCTTTAATCGAGTTTGATTTTGTTTTTAATTGAGTTTTTAATAAACTGCGTGCTTATTAAACTTTGTTTCCAGCTGTGGCTGTTGTTAAAGCGCTTTATAAATAAAATTGATGATTATTTTAATTTACTTTGTCATCAAAATTACCTGATGGCATTGAAGTATACCCTTGAGAATGTAATGAACCTGTTTGATTTTAATAAGATAAAATCGTTTCTTGATTTTTTTATAGATGTGCCTGCGAATGAAGGTTTATGTTGCTGTAGAAATTTAACAATCTGACAAAAACCCCGAAATTGCCCGAATTCATTAGTTCTCATTAAGGATCCCAACTTATTAAATTTCTTTTCTGTAAACGTACACACTGAAGAAATATTTGAGGATCAATTGAAATTGTGACTTTTGTCAATGGAGTTCCTTAGGAGCTAGTTTTAGCTAACAGAGCGGAGGCCAAGGCCTTAACTCTGAGGACTGGACATAAAAACATAAGAACCCTCGGCCTGATAAACCCTTCGAACGACATTAATAATGATCTGGAAACAATTCAAAGCAACTGTAAGGTTTATGAGATGATGTCAGACCTCCATCTGTTGATCCCGACGTTAGCGGCTCCGGCGAACCAAGGGTCCAGAACATAAACACAGCGTACCGTGTCCGCTCCGCTCAGGGCCTCCTGCAGTGCCGGATTATCATGTAGCCGAAGACCTTTACGGAACCAGTGCACGGAATTCACCACCATGCTTCCCTCTTATTCCACCATCAGAATAAAATCCACCAGAAAGTCAGCATTAATCCAGAAAAACTGGGGCAAACGAGGACATCAACGGGACTTCAGAAAACTTTATCATGGAAAGAGCGGGCGGGGTTTACTGAACAGTGGGCGTGGCTAGTTGTTGGCTTGCTCCCTTATTGGACAGATGGAGAAACGTCAAGATGAATTACAAAACTGGGCCGCTGTGATTGGCTGGATCGGCAGACGGCAGAGAAAGGCGGTAAGGTGACAGCTATGTCACGTTTCTGTTAGCCTCGGATGTAGGGTTGAGCAGGTAGGGGTGAGATGGAGTGAGTTACAGACACATGAAGGCTCCCATTTCAGCTGTGTTCTCATTATTGTAGGGGCCATGTGATTTATACAGCACAGTTTATAAATAAATAGTTATATAAATAAATATGTCAAACCTTGGTGACATGGTGAAATGTAAGCATCAAATAGCCTGTTTCACATAAAATACATTTTAATATCAGGCTAAAAAACAAGACAAAACTATTTTACTCTATTTACAAACAGCCGTAGAAAAAAGCCAATCTCCCAGTAATTACAAAGTTTCCCTAGCTCAGAGAAAATCAGTAGTGACTATCAAATTATGGATTTTTTAGTCCTGATTTGTGCTCAACTGTTGTGCTTGCCAGAAGAAAGTATGTTCTCTTTACACAATATAATACCATTCTTTGCAAAGTAACATGTAAATGGAGAGATTCAATTCAAAAATGCTTTTCTCATCCCTAAGGGAAATTAAATGTAAATCATATCCACATTTCTGTAATCATTGTGAAGGCAGGAAAAATGCTCAGTAGCAGTCAGTCTTGCAACAAACCTGAAGAGGATTCTGACTGAAGACTGTTGTTGCATGGCAGCCTCATGACTGTGATGACACACTAACAGTCGAGCAGTAATAATATTCCATGGTAATATGTCCTGGATGACACCATCACTTATTAGCAAACTATGCTAATCCACCTCATTTGCTAATTATTCTTTTGGTCATGCTCTGCATCTAATAAGCCTCTTTTTCAACACCTTTGGGAGTTTTAGTTTCAGGCATTATTTGAGCTTTTTGGATGGGAATCAGCTGTTCACAAAACATTGTTACCACAAGCAACGATTCTCCAAACATTGCAATGCCTCAACCAAAACAATTATGGACAAAACAAACAAGTCAGAACACAACAGATCTACTCAAACATACTGACACCATAAGTGCTTCAACTACATGAGATCAGATCAGTTGTTTCTGACTTTATGCATTATTTGTGAATTGTTCTGCACAAATCTATGTTTTGCTCTTATTTCAAAGTGATATTTTTAGAGAAGCATCTGTTGCTACCACTTTCAAACTGAAATCCTTCATTTTACAGCTGTCAGTCTTCACAGGAGTGCACATCCCAACGTAGTCATCCCAAGGTCAGGGCGTTCACTGCTCAGAAACAAAAGAGCTCCACCTCTGAGTCCACAGGCCTCAGCATGCTAGGTGTTACAGTTCAGAACAATTACACCCAAATATAGATCAGTTGAACGTCGTCTATAAAAATAAAACACCTTTGCAAACAAGTGTTTGCAAACAAGACTTCTGGATGGAAGAGATGAAAGTTGAGAATGGAGGGTAACTTCAGTAGCCGCGTTTCCATCACAAAAATTTCACAATTGCGGTGTTTCCCTTAAATAATAAACACGATTAAAATCACAAAGAATACTTTTATTCACATAAGTCATTGAAACAAATGCTTCCTTCAACTATCTCCTGTTGTCTTCTTTGTCGTTTGCGCCAGTAGATGAAGGGAACCAGGATGGATTCAGATGTGACTTAGTGATATAGATGTTATCAGTGTATAAAAATCCTCATTTAAAATAAAGCTTAGCCTGATAAAACACTGGGGGAAACCTGAGAGCAGACGTTTTGAGTACGAGTTTTGAGAAGACAGACATGGAGTCCTCCTTTCAAACTGCAAATGTGTGCTCTGGACTTACAACAGAAAAATTCTCTCTTAGGACCTTTTGAATGAGCTGCGTTGAGCAGAGACTCATGTAAAAAAAAAAGAAAACATGATTAGAGGGAACATCATATACTGCAGGCCTCGAGGGGCAGAATCCTGCAACTTTTAGTCCAACACTTGAATTACATGGGAAAACCGTCACTCTAACATGCCGTCAAGCTAATAATGGAGCCAAGTGTGTTGAAGCAGAGACATCTAAAGGTTGCAGGGCGGTCCTTCGGAGTTTGAAACCATTGCCTTATACCAGTTAGGTACAGTATTGAAGTGTGACTTTGATTTTTAGCAAACTTGGGAAAAACCTGAACTAAACCAGGGATCTGCAACCTGTGGCTCGTGATCCACATGCAATGCTTTGGCCCCTGTACTGTGGCACTTAAAAACCAATTAGGACATGTTTTTGATACCAAGAAAAAGTGGTATGAGCAAACTTTTTGCAGACAAATTTAATTTTGTAGTGGCGATGGCAAAAGTGGCTCTGAATTGAAAAGGTTTCCAACCCCTAAATCACATTTATAGAAGCACAAGTTCTAGTTTTATAGCGGCCTAAAGTTCAGTTGTACCTCAAGTCTGAGTTTGGATAAGTCTATTCCAGCTGACCTTTTGTCAGTCATCTCATAATTGCAGAGTTTGAGGAAGTTTTATGCAACACTTAGACACTAGTGCTATCTTCTGGATCTTTTGCCATCTTCTGCTGTTCATACCTACAGCAGCTGTTTTTATATGATCCTCCGAGCAACTGGAGCCGATTGGTAAATGGGACCAGCTGAGGAACCAGAACCACCAACATGGCAGAGTTCTGGTGCTGGATAACAAATTATTGAGACCGGCTGATGCAAAGTAGAAATGTGCCACAAGTTGTTTGCCAACCACCAGAAGAATTATTGAAAAGTTAACCAGATTACATAGAATTGTAGTCGTTTGACAATAATATGGAAAGAAAATAAAGGAGTCAGTTTCTGCAAAAAAAAAAAAAAAAAACTCAGAAACTTTGAGAATAATCTTAGAAATGCCCTAGAAAAAGTAAGAAAATTTCTGAGCTCCAAAAGTTTGCAATTTATAAGAAAAACAAATCTTGTCTAGAAAAAAAAAAAATTCCCAAGTCTTTGTTTGTTAGTTAGTTTGTTTGTTTCCTTCTTTCTTCTATAGAAGGAATTTGGATTTTTTTTTAAATAAAAGACATTAGTGTTTAATTTAGCCTTTTAGGAGCTATTGATTGAAGTCATGTTTTATATTTTAATTCATACAATATATCTATGATGCCAAAGAACAAGCTGTTAAACTTCTGTCACCTTATAAACCAAGGTCAACAGATTGGTTTTATGTCTGTGGCTCTCTGTGTTCTGCAGATTGGTCACTAGGGGTCAGTGTTGTCAAGCTATTTATTTTTTTCAACTTATAAAAATCAAACATCTGAATTATTCCTTTGCCAAGTTTGATTTCTGCACAATATTGAGTTAATACAGGAATTTGTCAACTTTGCATTTTGCAGTTTACAGATAAAAACTGCTTTGATTTGATTGATGGAATAATACTTAAGAAAATATCATCTTCCAGATTCTGTTTTCATGTCTCTTTGGAGTTTATAGGGCCACATAAAAAGCAGTGGAGGACTGAATTTGGCCCCTGGACCTTGAGTTTGACACCTGTGCCTTAACAGATTCATGAGCAGTAACAGTTATTTTTCTGTTGTCATTACCTTATTCTTTTCCTTTGTATGTTAACTCAAATTTGTACCATTTAGGGATGCAAAAAGCTGAAACTTTTTGCATTGTAATTTGGTCCACATCTCCCAACTGTGTTACAAAGTACACTGAGTTGGTTAGTAATTAGTTGCATTTACTCAATTACATTTACTTCAATAACTTTTTTTGGGGGAAAAAATACTTTTAGGAGTATTTTTACTGTTACTTGAGTAAAATTTCTGGATTTTTCTACCCTGTGAATGAAAAACAAACATGTTTTACCAAAAATTCAGCAGGCACAGACACACACCTGCAGTTTTTGTTAAAGTCTCTTATTGAAAGAAAATGATTTGAAAAACATTTTTTTTTGCTTGATTTTGCAATTGTTATGTATATAGTTTATAGTTTTTTGTAATATTCATCCTTGAAATATAAAATTTTCCATTTAACTTTCTGATTATGATAACTTTATATCTTAGACAAATTCAAAATAGGGGAAATTGTGAAATGGAAGAAAAAAACATAGTTTTCAAACAGAAATACTTATCGTGTGGTGTTCATTTGTATTCAATTTCCACATGTCAATTCCTTATGTAATCACCACACTGCAGGTGTTTCTGGGTGTGTCTCTAGCAGCTTTGTGAAGTATATTTACAGCTAAAGCCAGAAGTTTAAATACACCAAATACAAAGACAATGCTTCCATTATAAACGTGCACAAATCTGTGTGTATATTCTCCTAATGTCAAAAAAATAACATTTCACAATTTTGGTGTTTCCATTCAATAAGAAATTAAATTAAAATCACACATGAGTAAGCTTTCGTGAATAAGCAATCCTGAGTAAGTTATTGTGAGTAAGCGATAAATCATTAAAAATCAAGACACTTACATGAGATATATTTATAATTCAGTCATAGTGCTAGGCGCATCATCTATCAGCCAATCAGAGTCTTGGCTCTGCCAAGATGGGAGCAGAGTATGTGGGATTTTGCAAAATTATAGATTCACCATGTTTGAATGACACAAAACTTTTTATGAGCTATGCGATGCCTTTGAGAACAAAAACAAATGTTTTTGTTCCTGTCCTCTACTCCGTTGCTTCCGACAATAGTAACATCTGCTGTTGATGTGATGCAGATAAAAGTGTTTCCACTGCAGTTTTGTGAAACATATCTATTTTGATACAGTTGAAAAACTGTATCTTCCTAGCAAAAAAACATGTTTTTTTTTTAATTTACCTGTTTTTATAAAGCAAATTTATTTTATGATTAATAGAAACAGAGCTTTTTTCCTTTTTTTCCCCACTATTTGAAGTTAAAGTAAACCAAACTTTTCTTGCTTTAGGATAGAACTTCCAACATTATGTCCATAATTATGCAAGTTATATTTATTAATGTCTTCA